CCGCTCCTCTGACCTGGCTCGGCACCAGCGCGTGCATGTGGAAGAGAAGCCATATCAGTGCTTGGAGTGTGGGAAGAGATTCCCTCAATCCTCCCATCTGGCCAAAAACCAGTGTTTCCACCCAGGGGAGAAGCCATATTGGTGCTCAGAGTGTGGAAAGAGCTTCATCTCCTCCTCCAAACTGGCCCATCAGCAGCACATCCACACAGGAGTGAGGTCACATCGGTGCTCAGAGTGTGGGAAGAGCTTCACCCGCTCCTCCAACCTGTTCCAGCACCAGGTCATCCACGCAGAGGAGAAGCCACATCGGTGCTCAGAGTGTGGGAAGAGCTTCACCCGCTCCTCCAACCTGTTCCAGCACCAGGTCATCCACGCAGAGGAGAAGCCACATCGGTGCTCAGAGTGTGGGAAGAGCTTCACCCGCTCCTCCAACCTGTTCCAGCACCAGGTCATCCACGCAGAGGAGAAGCCACATCGGTGCTCAGAGTGTGGGAAGAGCTTCACCCGCTCCTCCAACCTGTTCCAGCACCAGGTCATCCACGCAGAGGAGAAGCCACATCGGTGCTCAGAGTGTGGGAAGAGCTTCACCCGCTCCTCCAACCTGTTCCAGCACCAGGTCATCCACGCAGAGGAGAAGCCACATCGGTGCTCAGAGTGTGGGAAGAGCTTCACCCGCTCCTCCAACCTGTTCCAGCACCAGGTCATCCACGCAGAGGAGAAGCCACATCGGTGCTCAGAGTGTGGGAAGAGCTTCACCCGCTCCTCCAACCTGTTCCAGCACCAGGTCATCCACGCAGAGGAGAAGCCACATCGGTGCTCAGAGTGTGGGAAGAGCTTCACCCGCTCCTCCCACCTGACCCAGCATCAGGTCATCCACACCCGGAAGCATCCATAGTTTTGGGGGCAACACAGGAAACACCTTGGGTATGTCCACCTGCTCAGTGTCCACCAGTGGCTGCCTTGAGGCAAGCAGCCTCGTGCTGGTGGACTGCAGCAAGAGTTCACCCAGCGTCAGCCCTTCTATGGACCTGCAGACCCCACAAGAGCCAGAGGCTGGCCCCAAGGTTTGATGTGGGGAGGGGCTAAGAGGAAATACCTGAGGCAGAGTCCAGTCTAGATGCTGGAAGAACTGGTGGGGGATCCCTTTGCATCAGCCTTGGAGCCTATGTCTGTGCCATCGTTCTCTAAAAGTGACCTATGCTTCATGGGGGGGAAGAAGTGGCTCCAAAATAGGGTGCCTCTCCAAGACAACTGGCTCCAAAAGACACCCAGGGACTGTCCTTGCCAGCTCCCACCTTCCTCCTCCATCCTGGCCCCCAGGATTCTGGTATGTCAGGCACCAGCGTTGCAGGAAACAGGACATTTATGGCTGGGGAAGCATTTCCTGACCTCCGCCCTGACCTCCCCTCTCCTCCCCAGTACATCACCCCTCCCTAGACGTGCACATGCCCATCGTGGTCTGTAAGGAGCTCAGCTGCCACTCCCTGAGTCCAGCGTGGCAGGTTTTGCTTCTCAGCCCCTCTTCCATGGGTTTTTTTAGCTCTTGGGTGCTGGAGGTGCCATGTCCTGCTGTCAAATCTGCAGGATCATACCTTGCTGACGAATTTGCTTAGCTTTTATACTATTTCTTCAAGGCATTTTGCTTGATGGTTGGCCTATTTAATTCTGAACAAAACAGGGAGGAAAAGGTTGATTATCATATCACAACTCTTAATTGCCGGGCTCCTGTTCTTGATTGTCTAGGTGTAAAGACTGTATCTGTGGCCCCTGTAATAATGGGTCAATCACAGATGATGGGCTTTGAGTGTCAGACAGGATACTTAGAGGTGTCACCACCAAGCCTGTTTGGGGTGCTTGTATATTAATGGGGAGCTTGTACTGGTGGTGGTCTATTTACCAAACTGCAGACATGCAGTGAATGGCTTGGACATTTCTAACACCTTAGAGTGACATTGGGTTCCTGGTTTGAGCAATGTGAGACTGTCGGATACAGAACATCCCCCCTGTATTCAGTGTACCTTTTACAGGTTTCTTTTGAGATGCATATATAGCCTTTTGTTTCCTTTGGCTGCTAGGTCAATTGAAATGCATATGTGGTTTCCTTGCCTTCACTGGCTCACCTTTCTTTAAAGGGTTTTCTGAGGTACACACATGTGATGAGCACATCGGGTCTCTGCCAACAGTTTTAACCACTTTTATTATTGTATGGCTTGGGTCTGGTATTGGGTACTGCAAGCACTTCCCTGTCTCAATGCCTAATGGGTTACAAGCCATTAGTGGAGTTTGATTTTCTTGTGGCAGTCTTGTTACCACAATCCAGTCTTGCCCCAGCCACTGTCCTGCATTTCTATTTTATGTCCAAGCTTTCACAATTTTCATATTTCATTGATGTTGAATGTGTAAGTGGCTGTGCAGTAGTTCCCACTGTTTTTGTGATGTAGTCTTAAGGAGAAGAGGATGCTGTGTTACAGAAGTAGGTGCGTAAGCATTTTGGTCAGTGCCTCGACCAGGGTGGAATAGGAGCAGAAGGAGGCAACTCAGTTTACTAGGGCCCCTACTAGCCAAATGGGTCTGGCCCCGTGTGGGGATGCAGGCAGCCTCACTTGCTGCGAAGAGCAAGGCCAAATGGCTGCTTGTGTCCCATGACAGCTCCAGCAAGTACCTAAGGACATGGGAAAGTGCAGGTGGGACCCTGCTGATGAGGTCAGACTTCCACTTACACCCATGGCCACAGCCATCCTAGGCTCCACATCCTCTTGGATCATGGCATTCTCCCAGGAGGATTAAAGCCAGGAGATCTTCTCTTTTCATAGTTTCATAGTAGCTAGGGTCAGGAGGGACCTGAACAGATCATCTAGCCTGACCCCCTGCCACGGGCAGGAATGAATGGTGGGTTCACAAGACCCCAGACAGGTGATCATCTAACCTCCTCCTGAATTTGCCCAAGGAAGGGGAGAGGACCACTTCCCTGGGAAGCTGGTTCCAGATTCTGGCCACCCTAACTGTAAAATATTGCCTTCTGATCTCTAACCTAAACCTATTCTCCATCAGCTTATTACCATTGTTCCTTGTTACCCCAGGTGGTGCTGGGGAGAAAAGGGCTCTACCTGTTTGCTGTTGATCTCCCCTGATGAGTTTGTAGGAGCTTGTAGGCAGCCACCAGGTCCCCCCTCAGCCTCCTCTTGCCAAGGCTGAACAGGTTCAGGTCCCTCAGTCTGTCCTCGTAGGGCCTGTCCTGCTGCCCTCTCGCCAAGCGGGCGGCCGTCCTCTGAACCCTCTCCAGGCTGGCCACATCCCTTTTGAAGTGCAGTGCCCAGTACTGGATGCAGTACTCCAACTGCGGCTCGAGCAAATTTGCATAGAGGGGGAGTATCACCTCTCTGGACCAGCTTGAGATGCACCTTTGGATGCATGACAAGGTATGGCTGGCCTTGCTGCTTGCAGTCAGGCATTGTCGGGTCATGTTCATCTTGGAGTCAATAATGA